TTTGTGCAGACGCGTGCTAGACACGGAACGCTGCCTCGGGTCAATTTTTTTTTTGGCTTGGGTTGGCTTCTGGTTGGCTTCTGGCTTCCACGAGGGATGACACTTACAAGTTCACCACGCACGACCCCCGCTGTTCATCGGGCACTTTGCAAATTTGCACGGGCGCCGCCCAAGTTTCCGCAGAGTTGCGCGTACAGATCAGAAATCCAAAAAGTCCGCAGTTTGCCTTAACCACACAAATCTCCGCAAACGGGTCGTACGTACAGATCAGAAATTGTTTCTGACCTCGACACACGAAGCTCCGCAGAAAGTCGTGCGTACAGAAAATCGTAAAAAAAACTCAGTCGTATGTTTTTGTTTAGTTCTTTTTTTGGTGGTACGGGCATCTATTATTTTCAATGGGGGCTGTACGTGGGCATGACATGTGGGAAAACTCAACTGGTTGAAACCTAACTTCTCCTGCGCCTGCCTTAATTAGGGAAGTCGTTTGCTCGCCCATTGCTTCCCTCCGGGTTGCTTTGCTCGTTTCGCTTTCCTACCGGCAACTCTGCTGTGGGTCGGCTTGTGTCTTGGGTCAGACGGTCAGACTGGCAGGTTGAGTTGGTTTGCTGTAGTGGTCAAATGGCTTGTTCTTGCGCCCTCTTTCCAAAAGCAGATTGGAGGTGCCAGCAGCTTTTCTACCGAAATTTACAAAGAGTTCAATCCCCAAGCCAAGATAATTTTGCAAAGTGGGCGCGCACACTAAATCTCTAAGAGGCGGACATCCGCTTGCGCGTTCGAGTTTGCTACTCGTTGTTTATGTCTACATTTTGCGGGTGGTGATGGCTATGATTGCTTCTTGTGCGGTCCGAACATGCGAGTGAGCGCGGTGAATATACTTTTCTTTGGGCACTCTTTTTTTTCCCGTTTTTTTTTTTTTTTTTTTTTAAATATATATATATTTCTGTTTTTTCTTTTTATTTTTTTTCTTAATCAATTCTTTTAGTCATTGCCAGGATTGTCTTAGGCATTCCGGCTCACCCCAACATCGGTCGTTTGTCCCGTTTCCCAGTCGGCGCAGTGGACCATTTTCGTGATTCTGTCAGTCGGTTTTTTCATGCACTCTTCCTGAGCTTTGATTAGATTGCCTGGTTGAAGCACCTGTCCCGGCCATCACTTTGGACCGTGATCGTGTTGTAGGCACGATTGGGCTATTTCATGTCGCTCTTCGTGCGCCGCTGGTTTTGCATGCTGAAGCTTGAACATGGGGGATGACGAGCCAAAAACTCAACTAGGACAGGATTGACATGACCGGCTTTTACGGAACCATTAACCCTGGTCCAAGAAGTGTGTGAATATATGCATAGCTGCGGCCTGGATGCCCCGCTTTGGGAAATTTTGGTGATGCCCTGATTGTGTCGTTGGTGCTTTTGTGTTGTTTTGTGTTGGGCATGTGACGAGGAACCCCAACAAAAAGCAAAGGGGTCTTGGGTATGGCCCGTCGAGTGCAGACTCATCATCGAGTCCTTGGTGACTTGCTGCTTAGAGGCTGCTGTTGCTGTTGCTGCTGCCGCAGCTGAATGTCGCTGGAAGAAGACACAGAGGTCAGTCGCCATTTGGCGCTGGCTGGACGTAATGTTAGAAAAACCAAAGCTCTCATTCCACACCTTTTCTGGACTCATTTTTCTGAGATTTGTGTTGGCCTTTGAATACTGCTGCGCTCAGGTTGTCGAACTCGCTGCAAAACAAACCTCGTGTCAGTGCTTCCCCAAGCGAAACAACAATGAGCCGCAGTGCAATACCAATCTTGCTTAGCAAATAGTCACATTATTCGTTTGCCGAATACATGTTTGTTGAAGGGTTTGCAGAGCAGTTTGCATTGTTGCGAGTTGAGCCGTGTGAGCGGCTGCTAACAGTCTGAGAATTGAGGATTCGCTGTTAGGCTATTAGGAAGACATGGCGAAGATGTTGGTCGTTGCTTGTGCTTGTGCAGCTTTTGCAACGTCATTGCATATGGCTCCATGTTGAAATAGCAACGGCTGTGTGGCATGCGTTTGGCCCTGCCAATCCGTGACGCAACTGAACACACAAATTCAATGGACATCGTGCGGTTGGCTGCGGGTGGTGCACATGATGTAGTTTCGGATGAGTATCCTTCCAATCCTCACAACAGGTTTAATCCAGAACAAACACTGCAGCCAAGGACACGGCTTTTTGTGATCACCAGTTGGATGGGGCACACGTCTGTGGTTCGGAACCTTTTATTGATACACACCCAACTACAAGGAAATGTGCAAGGCTCATCTTTGCGGCAGCAGCACAGGCACAAATACATCTTTTCATTCTTCATAAGTGCACATGGCTTTGCCTTTTAGTCAAGATTGACACTACGGTTGATACATGTCTTTTGTTCAAGTGCGCTTTTGTCCTCTTATTTGGCTTCAGCGCGCGGTGAAGCCTGCCGATTGTCATTGGATTGACAGGCGGGTGGTTCGACTTCTTGGCGAATCAATCTTGCAACATTTAGATTTGCACATGTGGGTCTTTGGAGTTTAAGTGTATAGGGCGTCAGCCTTATGGCTTCCTCAACAGGCCAGCTTCTGTGATAGTTTCAGGGAGTGCAAAATGCAAGGCCGGCATGGCGACGCTGGCCGACTCTTTCCTTCAGGACCAGAGCAGGGTGGAGGGGGTCTGCGCGTGCAGACTTGGTCCATTGGTCAAAAAGCGGTGGCTTGTGCCAGGGCCCCATGGCCCTCCTTTTGTGGCAAGTCCGTTTCATCCACCTCGGGTGATTTTTGCGTGCTGAGAAGGTCCCAGTGCGCAGGATCTCGAGGATCTGGAAGAGCCGGACCCGGATGCCGAGGAGTCCGGGCGCCAAGCCTTTCGACACTTGATGGAACCTCCCGAAAGGTTGGTGGACAGAAAGCCCCTTAAGCAAACAACAATGTGACAAATGATGTCCAGCAACGGGTCCCCCAACTTTAGAGCCTCCGGCTCACTCCGCCGACATTGTCCTCTCCCTTTTCTCCTGCTTCATTTCTCCCTTGTCTCCCTTGTGTTCTGTTGTCCTCTCTCCCTCCCTCCGCTCCCGATCCTCCCCATCCCCCCAAGCCTCTCTCTCCTCAATCTCCCTCTCTCTGTCTCTCTCTATCTGTCTCTCTCTCTCTCTCTCTCTCTCTCTCTCTCTCTCTCTCTCTCTCTCTCTCTCTCTCTCTCTCTCTCTCTCTCTGTTTCTCTGTCTCTTTCTGTCTCCCTGTCTCCTTCCTGTCCACGCCCCTCTACAGAAAAATTCGAACCTCTCTACTCTCTGCGGACCTAGTCTCTCTCTCTCTCTCTCTCTCTCTCTCTCTCTCTCTCTCTCTCTCTCTCTCTCTCTCTCTCTCTCTCTCTCTCTCTCTCTCTCTCTCTCGCTCTCTCTCTCTCTCTCTCTTCATGCAGCGTCACGTCCCCCCTGAGTTGCCTCGATGTCCGGGCACTGCCCCTTCATGACCCTGAACTGTCATCTCACAACTGGCTTTCCCCTTGATTTCCCCTTCATGTCCTTTTCACGTTTCTCATGATGTCCCGGTCATGTCCCTTCCATTCTTCATGTCCCTGACATTTTCTCGGTGTGTCCGCTTCATTTTCCATGTCTGTCCCGTTCTTGCGTTGCGAGTCATTTCCCTACATCTCCCGTCGTGCCGATTGGTTTCCTTGTGCTTTGTTTCCCTTTCATTCCCCCTGCACTCCCCTTGTTTTCATGTCTGTCCCTTTCATGTCCCTTTCAGTTCCCCTTTGTTTCCGTTTCATTTCCCGTTGCTTTCCTGTCATGTCGACTTCCTATTTCCTCCCGTCATTTCCTTGCACTTCCTTGCATTTCCCCTTTGCTCCCCAGTATTTCCCGCAAAAAAAACACGTTTTTTACACGTTTTTTTTCAGCGTTTTCGCAAAGAGGAAGTCCAAAAACACAGAGTTTTCCCAGATTTTCGGCAAAAGGAGGCAGGAAGCCCAAGCCAGCAAAAGAGCCGGCGGGGCGATTCGAGCTGGGACCCCTGTTTTGTTTAGTGGAACGTCATCAAATTGCCGTGTGGTACGAGGGCCCCCCCCCTACGTATCAGAACGTCGGGGGGGGGGGGGAAGGGGGGGGTTATCCTCTATCCTCCAGTAAGTATCCGACACGCCGAGCAATGTCGGCGGATTTCTGTGGAATTTGGGCCCAGGTGGTGGGGAGCGAGGAAGTGGCAAGGGCGCACGCTCGCAAGCAAGATGGGCCAACATGAAGTTTGTGTTTGGTCGTATTTTTCGGGCTGCGATGTGCACTTGAAGCAGGCTATGCTCCGCAGTCTTTTCTTTTGAATGGCATTTACCAGGTTCTCTTGTCAAGCTTTTGTTTCCCTTGTCGGCGCTGGCAATGGTTAAGTCTTGGGAAGAGCTGATGACGCAGCTTGCGCTGCTTGTGCCGCTTGTGCATGCCGAAGCGCTTGCTCTGACTGAGACCCGCAGCGAAGAAGGCAGGTGTACCTCGGGTGGTGCGGTGTGGCGGAAGACGAAGTTGCGACCGGCGGATTAGCGGAACCTTCAGCTTTGTGCCCATGGGATCCAATGTGTTTTTTCCAAAATATCCCATGGCTTCCTTGGGAGGCCAAATAACCGCCGAGGGGGGAGGGCTGGTGGGGGTGATTGTTTGACGCAAATCCCAAGCCCTGAGCTGCAGACCGCATTGCTGGTTGTCTGATGTTCTCTTCGAGAAACAAGTCGTTTTGCCCGTGCTTTGTTTGAGCGGCCTCGCGGCCTCGCGGCCTCGCGGCCTCGCGGCCTCGCGGCCTCGCGGGGCGTCGGCGGGCAAGGCGAAGAAGGGCAAAAAGGCACCGGTCGAGAAGGAGCTTAACACAGCCCCGGCCTCAGAGGGTGGCAACTCTTTTTTCTCAGCAGACGGTGAGAACCCAAAGGCGGCTGCTCCCTCGGCAAAGTCAGCTAACACCATATCAGCATGGGCAAGTTATGGTGACCCTCGCGACGGGATGCGGTTTGCGACCTGACCCATGATGAAGGTTCCGTGTTGGAGGATCCAGTGCCATGATCCAGGTTGATGAGAAGTAGATCATTGCAAAGAGAAGCGGTACAACCAGCCTCCCTGGCCTTGCCAAACGTAGAGGGTTTTGTCTTGTGCTTGAGCTGCAAGAGGGCTGGAGGCGATTCTTTGTGGAAAGGACGGGCTCGAGCGAGCGCGAGGCTGCCTTAGTGGACGAGGAGGAGGAAGGCGACGAGATCCCCGATGCCATCCAGGCGGGTGGCTTGGAAGGTGTTCCATGCCCTTTGGAGCAAGCGGGTGAGTTGACTTCTTTCTTTGGATAGGCACAAAACCGGAAGCCGGCCAGTCATCCGGAGTTTTCGACACATCGAAAAGCACCAAACTATAAATGTCTCCGAGCTGCTCCTAAAAGATGCCGGTCGGTGGTCTTTAGCTCTCGACATTTTCCTGAGAACATGGCATGTGCTTGCCGCCAGGTGTTTATGAACAATGAGAAGAGCGGCAGCCGGTGTCCCTAGACTCCCTGGACCCTTTGCGGTGGATGCATGAGAAAGGAAGCGCGAGGCAGGAAAGCGCGCCATAGAGGTCAAGTCCTTGCTGCATCGGATGAAAACGCAGGAATTTTGATTTCGGGACTGTTTGGTGGCCCTCATTTACATGGGATTGATGTCCACCATTTTGAGGGTGTTCCCCTGGACAAGTTATCGCCAATCGCCTGTTGATAGGATGAATACGTTTTTGTGTGCAATGATGCTGGAGCGGTGTGTGTTTAGGTTCCAGCGTCTCAGAAATGCTGAAGAATGACGAGTTCCAGAAGCTCATGGACGAGGCCACTGCTTAAACGTCCGTCACACTGGGGGCCCTGCCCAATGGTGGTGCCCAGCGGTTGCACGGCGGTTTCTGCTTCACCCACCCCAACAAGGCTCCTGCTGGTTTTAGCACTTTCCAAGCTTTGGCGAAATCATGATGCCTCGGTGGCTTGATAGTGTCTGTCACTGTGTGCTACGTTCAGCTTGCCACAATTTTAGGCAAAACGGCTCCCTAGACTGCTTAGGAATATCAGTACGTGAGTAGTGTTAGAAAAAGGACTGTCATATTTTGGGCCCTGACCGCCGGAAAACAACAACAACAACAACATGAGCAAATCTTTTTGAACAATCCTTGTTTGCTGGTTCTGTTCACTGTTGGAGCTTGCTCGCGTCCAGGTGCGAGAGCGCAAGGATGAGCAGCCGGCCCTGGAGTTGGGTGCGGGATCCTGTTGAGGGCCGGCTGGGTAGGTGGTGGTTTATCAGTTTGTAGATTCAGGGTCCCTTGATTTCCGTTTGTTCGGACTGTTATATTCGTTGCAACTTTCAAAGGGAGCATTCGAGCATCCAGTGACTCATGAAAAGGGGTTGGGAGAGGGCCCGCGATCTTTCGGAGGATTTCTGACGCGATGCATTGAATCAATGTCGCATTCCGGGAACTCTCCGAATGGCCAGTTCCGTTTTTTCATCCATCTAAAAGCCATTGTCACAAAGGCACAAAGGTTTCCTTTTTTTGCACTTAAGCTTTGCACTTTTGCCAGGCAAGCAGCTGAGCGAGGAGGACACAGAATACCCGCTCATCACTCGCAGGGGCCCTGGGGATTTTGTCCATTCGAAAGGCGGCACCCTTCCCAATGTCGCCTTCTTGTTTTGCTGAGTTCTCTGAAATGGTTGACCCCCAAAGCGTTCCGTTTTCCATTCTACCCGACACAGCTACAAGCCCAGAATAGGCATGTTGGAGACGCATCAATTTTGATGCCGGAATTGGCCTGCCGCGTCATATGCTGCGATGAAGCTTGCATGTCAGGCTGTGATTTGCTTCAGGTTGTAACACCTTGGTGCGAGAGATCGACGATGAGATGATGAGCATCCATCGATTTGTCTGTGGCTCGGGAACTGGTTGGCTTCGAGCGGGCTGGGAGACCAATGAGATGTCTTGGGGAAATCCCGAAACGGTGATTTGGGACCTGCTTTCTTGGATTGAGCTGGGCCGTGTGTAGCTTTGAAGAGCTTTTGTGGATCATTAAATATGAGGAAGTGACACCAACAGCAGCTTGAGGGGCTTTCACTTTGAATAGCCGCTTTGCGTTCGGAGTTCTCGTGGCAGCGCTGCCTGACCGTTCAGGTCAGAGACATCTATTCCAAGAAGTTCCCGGAGTCTGGTGCTCAGGTGAGCCAGGCTGCATGGTGTCAGGGGGCGAATTGGGATTCTGGGCCTTCCGAAGCCCCTGCACTACGCTGTTGGCTCTCTAGAAACGTGAAGGGGCTGAGTGGTTCGTCAATTCATCCAACAACGCAAATGAACTAAACAGAAGCTATGGATTTTAAGTACAAAGAAATCATGGCTTCAGCCTTGCAGTATTAGCAGCATGCTAATTGCAGTGTTTTCCTTTTGGCCAGAAGGCTGCCCTTCTCCGTATTCTGTGCCGTGGCTCAAGCACCTGGCTGCTTGATGCCGACCAGCCAGGCCTAAAGCGGGATCATGCCATTTTGCGAGGGTCTCGCCCAAGGGTTTTCTTTACAGATCCTCGCATATCCATTGTTTCCGGTTTTAAGCACCACCTTTTGGTTGCCGTTTTTCAGATTGGTGGTATTTTGCCGTGCTGAGCAGGTGTCTTGTGAAGCTTCTGGCTGGGCAAGCCTTGAGGTTGGAGTCCATCGTCACCAGCCCCTTGGACTACCTACAGGTGGTGCAGCGCATTGGCAACACCAAGGTCGGCCACTGAGCGGATGGGCGAGTGGGCGACTGAGGTGTCGAGGGCGGGATATATTCATCCTTTTTTCAGGCTTTGGGAGCACGAACATTTCCTATGCGTTCGTTTTTTGGAAGGAACAACCTGCAGGGAACAGGGAAGTGGGAAACTTCCTTCAAACCCAGGCGATTCTCGTGTGAGTGTATATGTCAACCCCCCGGTGGTTTTCCTTTCGCTTTCTTTTTGAACCGCGAAAGGGTGGCCTGAAAACAACACTCTCTGGTATGCTGGAACAGGATCTCACCACCATCGACTTCTCGGACATTTTGCCGAATACTGCCGTCATGGCCATCACGGCGAGCGGCTGAGATGCTGAGATCAGCCGGACGGGCCAGGTGTTGGCCACTGCGCCCATCCTTGGAAGGGGTAAACACCGAGTCATGCCAAAAATCCTTTCCAATTGCGTCTTTTCTTTTGAGGGTATTCATTTCGGGGTTGCTTCCAAAGAAAACCAAGAGGAAGCCACCCAATGTTTTGGCTTTTTCTTGGAGACAAACAATCGTTGGGCTGTCAGCACCGCAGCACTTCCGAGTGTGAATTGGGGGTCCTTTGAAGGAAATCTCTTGCATGGAACAGAGAAGGATTGGTCTGCTTGTCCAACATGTCTTGGACCAGGATTTGCTTCCACGGCAAAATTTCGGGCAGGGCCAGGCGGTTTGACTTTCTGCTTGCTTGCTTGCTTGTTTGTCTGTTTGCTTGCTTGTTTGTTTGTTTGTTTGTTTGTTGTCACTGATGCAGCGATGCATATCAACACACTTGCCCAGGATTTTGTTTAGCAATCCATGCAAGGGTTCCTGTCATCAGAAACCCAGTTGCTTTGAGTTTTGGGATTTGAATCCACGGTGTTTGACGTTTGGCCTCAACCTATAGAGACACAGGGGAATGTCTCTGCCCCCCCCCCCCCATTTCTTTTTGTCAGAAAATCCCAAACCCCAGGCATGCAACCCCCCCCGTTTTGTCGGAATATCTGGTGGCCATCAGCTGGTCCGAGGTCACAGCCTCCATGACTGCGGGCACACAGCTGCCCAGGCGCGATGCGACGGCCGTGCCGCGCCATTTAGCCCCCGCGCAGACCCAGTTCAGAAGTTCAGAGAAAAGAGCACCACGTTTTGGAAGGCGTGCGGCTCGTTTTTGAACGCGGGGAAAGCTTTCGTTTCTTGACGCGCTTTTGCTCCAGCCGACAGACAATTGGCAGGGGAGAGTCTCACCACCCCCGACCAATGCCAAAAATCCAACCCTAAGCCCCAAACCCCAAACCACAACCTAAAGAAAACTCGGCTCCGTAAAGCTTGCGACAAACCCTAAATCCTAAACCGTGTTGACCCTACCCAAACCCAAAATCTAAACCCTAACCCCTAAACCTGAAACTGAGCTGACCCTAAACGGAAACGTACATCCCAAACCGTAACGATCTAGTCCCAAACTTCCAGCCCTAAACCAAAACCTCAACCCTGAACCGTGTTGACCCTGAAACCCAAAAGCCTAAGCCAAAACCTCCCCCCAGCAGCAAGAGCTTGCACGCACGCCTGTTGACCCCTATTACACATTCCTAAAAGCTTATGTGTTCTGGCCTGTGTTCGAAAATGAGTCCAGTGCCAGTGTTAGAAAACGAGCCACAACTGGTGTTCGAATTTGATCCTCCCGTTCAGGGGACGCCTCCTTGGTTTACCTTCGAAGGGTACCAGGGGTTGGCTGTTTTAGTATGTCTTTTCAACTTGCTTTGGTGGGTTCTGCACACTAAAAATGGTCAACCCCCCACAAAAGGTCCATTTTTAAATCATTTGACGAGGGTCACAGGGCAACTGGGGGGCGTTCACTAGTGAAGGTCATCGTGTTGGTTTCGCCTTCTGCATTGCAGAAAGTGAATTCGAGTAAGTCCATTTTGAGGGTGGGAATGTGTCAAAACTTGCCGGAGCGTTCGTTGACCTGCCCTACCCACTCTGTTTCGGGTTCTAGGAAAGTAATCCAAAACAGAGACGGTTGCCAAGTACAATGTTTCAATAGGGCTTTTGGCCGAAAGACACTGCCGTGATGGTAATGGCTGGCTGGAAATATGTCAGTGGACAAGTAGATGCAGGGTTCCTTTTTAGACTGCCCGTAAACTTGGAACCGGACGTTGGCCTTCGAAGAAATCAACAATCCCTTGTTGTCGTTTGCTTGGTTGTTCGTTGTTTCTTTGTTTGCTCGTTGGTTTGGTTCGGTTTGGTTCGGTTCGGCGGTTCGGCTCGGTTGGATTGGTTTCGTCCGTTTTGTTTTCTTTCTCGTTTTAGCTTGCTCGCTCTCGTTGCCTGCTCGTTTTCGTTTGTTTGTTTGTTTGCTTGCTTGCTTGCTTGCTTTTTTTGCTTGTTTGTTTGTTTCTTCGTTTCTTCAATCCTTTCCTTCCTTCCTTGCTTGCTTTCTTGCTGTCCTTCTTTCTTTCTTCTTTTCTCCCTCTCTCTCTCCTTCTCCCTTCTGTGGCAGGCAGGAGCTGGACAAGATGCTGGTGGCATGCGTGGGGCAGCCTGTGCTGCAGGTTTGCTGGGCCAGGCCATCAAAGGTCTCCATAAGCTCTCAAAAGGGGAGGTTGAATGCTCGGACATAGTTTTTTTTGCCTCTGGCCAGTTTGGTCAAACGAGATGGCGCAGACTCCTTTTCTGGAGCTGGGATTTTGTTTCAATCCAAGATGAAGACAACCTTTTTCTTTTTTTGGGGCGGGGGAATGTTTTGAGACTGACCCAAGCAAGTTCTGGCAAAACGTGACAATGCCAAGGAGCCACAACTCAGCTTAATTGGAAGGAGCTGTTTCGCAGATTCAAAAACACAGTCTAAAGCTCCTCTCGGTGGCGCATTTGAAGCTGTTGTGGCCACTCTGGTCGTGTTTCGTGACCTGTGGCGCAAAGATGACCAAACCGAAATTTTCCACAATGAGGGCCTTGCAGGTCCTTGATTCCACTTGACCCACTTAGATCGGAGCTCGCTCCCTTGGTCACGTAGATTCATTTTCTTTGGCATGTGGTGTCCAGTCGTTTGCGCATTTGAAGCTGCTGTGGCCACTCTGGCCGTGTTTCGTGACCTGTGGCAGAAAGATGACCAAACCGAAATTTACCACAATGAGGGCCTTGCAGGTCCTTGATTCCACTTGACCCACTTAGATCTGAGCTCGCTCCCTTGGTCACGTAGATTCATTTTCTTTGGCATGTGGTGTCCAGTCGTTTGCGCATTTGAAGCTGCTGTGGCCACTCTGGCCGTGTTTCGTGACCTGTGGCAGAAAGATGACCAAACCGAAATTTACCACAATGAGGGCCTTGCAGGTCCTTGATTCCACTTGACCCACTTAGATCTGAGCTCGCTCCCTTGGTCACGTAGATTCATTTTCTTTGGCATGTGGTGTCCAGTCGTTTGCGCATTTGAAGCTGTTGTGGCCACTCTGGCCGTGTTTCGTGACCTGTGGCAGAAAGATGACCAAACCGACATTTACCACAATGAGGGCCTTGCAGGTCCTTGATTCCACTTGACCCACTTAGATCTGAGCTAGCTTGCTTGGTCACGTGGATTCATTTTCTTTGGCATGCGGTGTCCAGTCGTTTGCGCATTTGAAGCCGTTGTGCCCACTCTGGCCGTGTTTCGTGACCTGTGGCGCAAAGATGACCAAACCGAAATTTACCACAATGAGGGCCTTGCAGGTCCTTGATTCCACTTGACCCACTTGGATCTGAGCTAGCTCGCTTGGTCACGTAGATTCACTTGCTTTGGCATGTGGTGTCCAGTCGTTTGCGCATTTGAAGCTGTTGTGACCTGTGGCGCAAAGATGACCAAACCGAAATTTACCACAATGAGGGCCTTGCAGGTCCTTGATTCCACTTGACCCACTTAGATCTGAGCTAGCTCCCTTGATCGCGTAGATTCATTTTCTTTGGCATGCGGTGTCCAGTCGTTTGCGCATTTGAAGCTGTTGTGGCCACTCTGGCCGTGTTTCGTGACCTGTGGCGCAAAGATGACTAAACCGAAACTTACCACAATGAGGGCCTTGCAGGTCCTTGATTCCACTTGACCCACTTAGATCTGAGCTAGCTCCCTTGATCGCGTAGATTCATTTTCTTTGGCATGTGGTGTCCAGTCGTTTGCGCATTCGAAGCTGTTGTGGCCACTCTGGCCGTGTTTCGTGACCTGTGGCGCAAAGATGACCAAACCGAAATTTACCACAATGAGGGCCTTGCAGGTCCTTGATTCCACTTGACCCACTTAGATCTGAGCTCGCTCCCTTGGTCACGTAGATTCATTTGCTTTGGCATGTGGTCCAGTCGTTTGCGCATTTGAAGCTGTTGTGGCCACTCTGGCCGTGTTTCGGGACCTGTGGCGCAAAGATGACCAAACCGAAATTTACCACAATGAGGGCCTTGCAGGTCCTTGATTCCACTTGACCCACTTAGATCTGAGCTCGCTCTCTTGATCACGTAGATCCATTTTCTTTGGCATGCGGTGTCCAGTCGTTGCGCATTTGAAGCTGTTGTGGCCACTCTGGCCGTGTTTTGTGACCTGTGGCGCAAAGATGACCAAACCGAAATTTACCACAATGAGGGCCTTGCAGGTCCTTGATTCCACTTGACCCACTTAGATCTGAGCTAGCTCGCTTGGTCACGTAGATTCATTTTCTTTGGCATGTGGTGTCCAGTCGTTGGGGCATTTGAAGCCGCTGTGGCCACTCTGGCCGTGTTTCGTGACCTGTGGCGCAAAGATGACCAAACCGAAATTTACCACAATGAGGGCCTTGCAGGTCCTTGATTCCACTTGACCCACTTAGATCTGAGCTAGCTCCCTTGATCGCGTAGATTCATTTTCTTTGGCATGTGGTGTCCAGTAGTTTGCGAATTCGAAGCTGTTGTTGCCACTCTGGCCGTGTTTCGTGACCTGTGGCGCAAAGATGACTAAAGCGAAATTTACCACAATGAGGGCCTTGCAGGTCCTTGATTCCACTTGACCCACTTAGATCTGAGCTAGCTTCCTTGATCGCGTGGATTCATTTTCTTTGGCATGCGGTGTCCAGTCGTTTGCGCATTTGAAGCTGTTGTGGCCACTCTGGCCGTGTTTCGGGACCTGTGGCGCAAAGATGACCAAACCGAAATTTACCACAATGAGGGCCTTGCAGGTCCTTGATTCCACTTGACCCACTTAGATCTGAGCTAGCTCCCTTGATCGCGTAGATTCATTTTCTTTGGCATGTGGTGTCCAGTCGTTTGCGCATTCGAAGCTGTTGTGGCCACTCTGGCCGTGTTTCGTGACCTGTGGCGCAAAGATGACCAAACCGAAATTTACCACAATGAGGGCCTTG